TGTGAGTGTGCGGTATAGTCGTGCATCCGAAATACGGGTGAGTGTGCGGTATAGTCGTGCATCCGAAATACGGGTGAGTGTGCGGTATAGTCGTGCATCCGAAATACGGGTGAGTGTGCGGTATAGTCGTGCATCCGAAATACGGGTGAGTGTGTGTGTGTGGCATTGTCGTGCATCCGAAATACGGGTGAGTGTGCGGTATAGTCGTGCATCCGAAATACGGGTGAGTGTGTATGCATGTAAAATACGAGTGAGAGAGGACTACTAGATACATACTACTAAGAGAGACATTGAGAAGGAGAGGGAGGTTGAGTGGGAGTGGGAGTGAGAGCGAGAGAGGAGAGAGAGGAGAGTGAGAGAGAGAGAGAGAGAGAGAGGAGAGGAGAAGAGGGAGAGAGATCAAGATTCACGAAATCCAGCATTTTACGAGCGAGATTTTGCCATTCACAGCTGGTTGTTCTTCTCTGACTGGGGAACGACGCCCAAGATCGAGCGAATCGGCATGAACGGTCTCGAGAGGACGATGTTGGTCAACCAGGACATTCTCTGGCCAAACGGACTAACAATCGGTGAGTGACACTGCCCATCCTTTCAATCTTCCATCCGGATTGCACTGTCATGCTTCAGCAATAAGCGAAATCGGAAAGTCCCCACCGCCATATTGAGATCAGATTAGAGGGGGTATAAACTGCCGTTTTATAACATTGTTAGTATAAAACTGGTCTAGGTTTTTGATCAATAATCCTCTTCACTAACATCGTACTTCAATTTACAGGTGCGTTTCTGTTTACAGAAACATTTACAAATATGATTTTGGTCATTTGGGATATTTTGCAATGTTTGTGTTAATGCAAAAACGAAAAACGCACGAGTGTTTACAATAATCATGTACTTTCCTAAGTGTGCCTCGTCCATTTTATACCCCTTTTTTCTGTGACCTAATTAGCACAGCTGGACTTTCCGATCTCACTTATACTCTAGTATGTACTCAAGTGTGAGAGCGTTTTATGCACGCACTCACGAGATAAACCCTCCGATTGCAGATTACGTCACCGAGCGCATATACTGGGTTGACGCCAAGATGAATCTCCTAGCAAGCATGGATCTCAATGGCCGGGAGCGCCAAACTATTCTCTCCGACATCCTGACACTGAAGCACCCGTTCAAGATCGCCGTGTTCGAGGTAATACACGCAGCCCGGCCACCATGCTGCGCTCTTCCCTTCCTAGCTCGCCTGTTCGCTGTCTTCACTATAGCAGTCACGTCTGTGTTGTTATCGTCCGGGTCGTCACGTTCCTTTTCGTTGGCTACTAGTGGCCGTTGCAATTACCTGTTGCACTTGTGTTGACCTGTGGCGTTGTCCTGTATCCAATCTGTCGGTGCGGGGATGGCATGTTCCACCACCAGAGGTCCCACTCATCACTGCTAGTAACAGAATTTTTCTGTAAATATTTGTTTTGTCCTTCGATAAGGGGTGGGGGTGACACCTATTTTGTGTGTGAGTGTCTGTGTCTCTGTTAGTGAGTGGTATGAGGGTGGAATATAACAGCTGCCCCCTGCCCCTCTCCCTCCGTATGTGTGTATACTTGGTGACTGTGAGTCCCTTTCTTTTTCCCAACATGCATTCAGTCGCCCAGAGCCTACACACACCCTTACACAGTATCCGTGTTCGAGGTAAGCTCTCGCATGTAAATCTTTGCCTGGGCTGTCGGTTGTCTCGTGCCGCAGTAGCTGCTGTCTGTGTAGAGCACGCCTGATCGCACCATCAGCCCGTCTGTGCCGTAGGCTTCGGTGTTTATAGCCAACAACCCCGACAGCCTTTCTGCTAAGGTTCTTATCCGTGTACGAGCGTTCGCCCCCCGCCTGCCGATCTAACGTTTGTATGTATTTGCGTTGCAGGACACCCTCTACTGGACGGACTGGGAGACGGAGGCGATACACACGGCGAACAAGTTTACGGGTGAGAACGTTCAGAAGCTCGCGATCGGCCTGCTACAGCCGATGGACCTGAAGGTGATGCACGCGCAGCGGCAGCCGAACTACACCAACTACTGCCAGCAGGACGACGACAACGGCGGCTGCTCGCACCTGTGCCTGCCCGCCCCGCAGGTAACGAACCGCGTACGCCGCGCGCGCGCGCGCACTTCTCCTCGCCCCGCTTTCCTCTACCGTTCCTCCACTGCCGCCGTCCTGGAAAAATGCCTCGTCCGTCTGCGAGTTAGGTGAACTGACCTGTTCTGCACGTTAGTCAGGGGAATGGATGAGAAGGAGGAGGAGGGGAAGGAGCAGGAGCAAGAACAGGAGAAAGTCGGCACGTCATGTCGACGATTGTCCGTGTCGTCGTCGTTGTCTGCAGTTTGCATTGAAATAATGGTTGCTTGAGAGATGTTTCTGTTCTTCGTTGCCCGTAGGTGTAGCGATCGGGAGTTTGCCTGCTTCAACGGAGACTGCATTCACCGGTCGTGGGTGTGCGACGCGCAGAAAGACTGCCCTGATGGATCGGACGAAATTGACTGTACGTATCACGAATCTGTGTGTCTGTGCGTCTGGAATTGTTAATCTGTCCGTCTGTCTATTTGTATGTCTAGGTAATTAATGTGCATTAGAGGCAATTTGTGCAAATATAATTCAACAAGCTTATCATACATTCCGCCGCGCATCACAATTAAGATCACGTTCCACACGTTGCGTCAGACAGTTTTCCATTGTTGGGCATGTCGCGGATTAGTGCCGGCAGTCGGCACCAGCCTGTGCTTCATGAGCCGATACTGCTTGCCCTGCTTTCCTAGAAAAGTTTCGTGGCTGATGCAACCCACTTCCGGCTTGACGTCACCTCAGTGTTCATGCTTTGTCGAAAATATTATGTATAATTTTCTAAATATATGCAAGTCATACTGCAATTTCATTCGTTCAAGTCTGTAATTTATAGCGAGTGATTTAGTGGTCGAACAACTTTTGTACCGTTAATCTTTAATCCTTGACTTTCTTCTTCCACAGACACTTCTGCTATTTATATTAATATACACACACACATATTTATTATTATTATTGTTATTATTATGATTATAATGATTAATATTATTATTGTTATTACGTATTGACAACATTCAGTGGGGTACGTCATGTGTACATCGTGCCAATGCTGTTATCCCTACATCTGTGGTGCAGGTAACATCACGTGCCGCATGGACCAGTTCCAATGCAGGGACCTGGAGTGCATTCCCGGCGTGTCGCAGTGCAACGGACGCATCGACTGCATGGACGGCTCTGACGAGCAGAACTGCCCGACGCAGCCGACGTCGCAGTGCGATCCGAAGACGCAGTTTGCGTGCGCGGCGACGTGCATCTCGATGGAGCTTGTCTGCGACGGCAAGAACGACTGCGGCAACTGGGAGGACGAGCCGTCCGGACCGACGTCGTTCTGCGGTGAGCGGGCGAGGGGAGCATGCGTGAACGGGGATGGGCCGGGATGTCTTGATGAGAGGCGGGTCTCCCGCGCGTGTTTGTCCGGCTTAGATGCGATTGGGGCTGTGAAGTTGGCTTTGAGCTGCAGTGTGCTGCAGTGAACGGTCTAGTCGCGGATCTCCGTTTTCGCTAGATCTTCTTTGGTATTTGCTCTTCCTCAGGCAGCATAGTGCCTTCTTGCTGCAAGGCTTCTTTCGATCTCCTTCGAGAGCCACTCTGCCACTCCATTTTTATTTCTTTTTTTATCTTGAGGCGTTCTCCGCCTTCTTCCTGCTACAATGAAGGTAGGTTTGGAAGATCGCAGAGGTTTACGGCCATCTTGTTTGCGTTGCAGATAATAATGAGTGTGATGTCAACAATGGCGGCTGCGTGCATCAGTGCATCGATACCCGTGCCGGCTTCTTGTGTGAGTGCAACCCCGGATACAAGCCGTATCTGAACAACTCGTGCGAAGGTGAGTTAGCGTACGCTGTGACAGTCGCAGTAACTCGCGTGTAGATATACAGCGACTACGTGGATAGTTATCTGTATGCACATTACTCTATATGTGTCATTACATTATTCTTAACCACATATACGTGTCGCCGCGGGTGTATTGCACTTAAAAAAGAGGATTTCCCACTTTATAAAACTTGGGCTTTCCCCCAGTCTAGGAAATAAAGCCTGAAACCTGTGTAATAAATTATAATAACGTAATAATAAATGTGCTGGAATAACGGACCGTTTGTACAATCGTGCAAATAAGTAAAAAGCCCAAATAAAACACGGACAGCTATTATTTAGAAAAATTTATATTTCTACTACACAAGCTAGAATAAAATCCACAGAAAGTCTCGCTCCCTTCGTCGTCGTCGTTCCCGCGTCCGTCTCACCCCCCCTTTCTCTCTCTCTCAGACGTGGACGAGTGCGTCGAGATGCCGGGCGCCTGCTCGCACACGTGCGAGAACACGAAGGGCTCGTACAAGTGCCACTGCTTCGACGGCTACCACCTCGACCTGGCGCGCACGGGCTTCTGCAAGGCGGACGGCGCGCGCCCCAAGCTGCTCTTCTCCAACCGCAAGGACATCCGCGTGCTCGACCTCGCAAACCGCGAGTACCACAACGTCGCGACGCACCTGAACAACGCGATCGCCGTCGACTACGTGCACGCGACGCAGCAGCTCTACTGGAGCGACGTCAACGATGAGCACATCTACGTGATGAACATGTGAGTGTGAGGGCCGGGGAGGGGGCGAGGGAGCAGGGTTATGAAGCGCCCTGAATGTGTAGATGAGGGAGGGGAAGGGGGAAAGCGAAGGGTGGTGAGGCGAGGGTAAGAGTGGCACAAGGTAGGGAGGGGAGCAGGGAATGACACATGTACATACATCCGGCAGAAACATCGTGCGTCGTGAGGGCCGAGAGAGGGGGGGCGAGGGTGAGGGAGGGGAAGTCGCGAATTTGATAACGAGCGAACGGGCATAGGGAGGGGGAAAAGTTGGCGCGCGAGGCGTTGTGAGGACTCGTTGATGTTGTGACGACGAGGGAAGGCGGGGGCCGGCGGTGATGCCGCGGCTGCGACAGTGAGGGAGCGGCTCTGACGCGGGGAGTGAGCAAATAATTCAGTGACAGATTACATCTACGTGTACATGAACATGGGGACGTGTGAGTCCGGGAGCGGGGCGAGGCGGTTGTAGGAGGAGGGGGAAGGGAGGCTGAGGGTGAGAGAGGAGAGGATCAGGACCAAGTATCATCTATCGATGAACATGTGCAGTGTGAGGGCGGGAGGGAGGGCGAGGGTGAGGGGAAGTGTGAGGCGAAGGCTGTGAGGGAGGAGAGTTAAGATGGGGCTGCGGCGGGCCTCATTATGAGGGTGAGGCGAGAGGGAAGGGGGCGGTGCCGGCTGGGGCGAGGCCATCGGGCCTGTGGGCGGCTGTAGGAGAAAGGGAGGAAGTGATCGAGGGTGCGAAGGAGTAGAGGAGAAGGGGCGGAGGGAATGAAGGGCGGGGTAGAAGACAAGTAAACGGATGACAATGGGAGTGTGATGGCGGGGCCGGGGGTGGAGGGCCGGCTGCGAGGCGACCAAGTACATCTACGGAGAACAGGCGTGTGTGAGCGCGGGTACAGAGTCTAACGTCGCGACTGCCGAAGTGAGCGGGTGGGATAATGATCTCTGCCTGAGTGAAAGAAGCCTGTGGTAATGAAAACGAATCTTAAACGTCCTAACACTGGAGGGACCCCGAGGAGTGGTGATTATCATAGGAGGAATGTGGTGGTGAGTTAGACGTAGGAAGACAGCCGGCTGATAACCTGCGAGGGACGGAAAGGGGCGTGCACAATGGGAGAAAGTGGGAAGGAAACCCCCTTCTTGTGAGGGAGGCTACAACAATTACCGGAAAAAAATAACACTAAAAATCTGATAAGAGCATCATCCATGGTGCATCCTGTACAGGGGGATGTTCAGTACTACAATAATGATCAAAAGAACGGAAATAGCTCAGATTCCAGACCCTGAAGCAAGAAGAAAAGACCGGATTCAAAGGGAAAAATAGTTGTGGGGAGCGGCTGTGATGGAGTAAGAAAAAATGAATGGAATAGCATGTTAGATGAAAGGATTTAAGGACGGAACGGGCAGACAAGGATTAGCGGCACAACGCTACGAACGGACAGCTCAGAATAACATCATGAACATGAACTGAGAAGGCAAACGCCGAGAGAATCAGTACGTGAATACCAAAAATCGGGAGTGTTGAGGTATAGCAGTGATAGAAATACGGCGATAGCGGAGACGTGTAGTAGTGAATAAGAATAAGGAATAGTTCGAGTATAGTCGTGCATAACAATGGTCCTTAGGTGAAGGTTAGTCTGACAATCAAATAAGTGATGAGGCGAATATAGTCGTGATAAAGAAGGTGTGGTGTGTGTGTTGTGTACAATGGTGACATAAAAAATTAAGGGTGATGTGGCGTATGTAGGATCAAATACGTGAGGTGTGTGTGTACATTGTGCATCAACACATACGTGATGTCAACGGTATATTAAGCAAGAAATAAGGTGAGTGTGGTATAGTCGTGAATAAATAACAGGGGAGGTGAAAGGTATAGTAGTGATCAGAAATAGTGTGAGCTGTGTACGCGAGTGGGATAAGTCGTGTCGAATAGGGGTGAGTTTGGTGGTTTTGTGTGATTTGTGAATTTCAGAAGACGGTGAGTTGAAACCGTATGGGAATTTAGATGGGGACTGAGGTATAGTCAAGCCATCCCGAAATACGGGGTGAGTGTGCGTGTAACGTGCGCATCAGTAAATACAGGGTGGGGGCACGCCGCCTGTGTGTGGGTCTGTGAGTGCATCAGCAAATCTAACGGGCGTGAGTGTGCGGTATAGTCGTGAATACGAAAGGGTGAGTGTGTTAGCATGTAAAGATAATGAGTGAGGAGAGGACTACTAGACTACATCACTACGTAGAGAGACATTCAGAGAAGAGGGGAAGGTTGAGAGGCGAGAGTGCGGTAGGTGGCCGAGTGGGAGTGGGAGGGAGAGCACCGAAGAAAAGAGGAGAGATGCGGCAGGAAAGTTGAGAGAGAGAGCAGAACGAAGCCGAAACCCGTTCCCACCCCACGCGCGGAACTGAAGCGAGAAGCAAGCGAAGAGAATGAAGAGAGAGAGAGAGCGCTGAGAGAAGCGCCAAACGCACATACAGTTATCTCTCAGGAGGTCTCTCCGCTCCTCATGAAAAACTGCGAGAGAGAACGGGACGAGAAGAGAGAAGAATTGAGAGAGAGACGCTGAGCGATGAGGAGAGGAGAGAGTGATGGCTGCCTGCTGCAGAGCGGGAGAGAGAGAGAGGAGAGGGAGGAGAGGAGAGAGAGGAGACGGGAGGAGAGGAGGAGAGAGGACCGTGATGAGGAGAGGAGGGCGAGAGGCAGTGAAGAGAAGAGGAGAAGAAGGGAGAGAGATTCAAGATTCACGAAAATCCCAGCATTTTACCCGAGGAGAATTTTGCATTCAAGGCTGAGTGTTTCCTTGACTGGGGGGAAACCGGCCAGAGCGAGGGTCGTCCATCTCCCACGAGATCGTCCATCCCATGGCGAGTGTCCGGTGGCCCTCGCAGCGATGACTCCAGCTCCTGCCCTTGCAGAGCCACTCCTCCCCGTTCCCCTCTCCCATAGAACAGTCCTCGAGAGGACGATGTGGTCACCAGGACTTCTCTGGACCAAAGCACTAACAATCGGTGTGAGTGACATGCCATCCTCTCATCTCATCGGATTGCTATTCATTGCTCAGCAATAAGCCAATCGGAATCCCCACCGCCATATTGTATCAGATTAGAGGTATAATACTGCCGTTTATAACATTGGTTCATGTTAGACCCCTGGTCTCGTTTTTATCAATAATTCTCTTCACTAACATCTACTTCAAATTTACATTGCGTTCGTTTACAGAAAAATTTACAAATTTTTGTAGTGCATTTGTCATTCCACGTTTGTTAGGCCCAAATACGGAAACGCACGTAGTTACATATATATCCTAAGTGATGCCTCGCATATTTATACCTTTTCTGTGACCAATTAGACAAGCGACTTTTTCCGAGCTCACTTATACTTAGTACGTATCAAGGAGGTTATATGCACCACTCATGAGTAACCCTCGATTGCCGCTTACGTCAACGAGCGCACTATACTTGGGTTGACGCAGATGGAATCTCCGGAGCGCAGGATCTCAATGGCAGGAGCGGCCCAACTTTCTCTCCGACATCCTGACACCCCCCAGTATGAAGCACCTTCAAGATCGCCGTGTTCGAGTAATACACGCAGCGCAGCCGCACCATGCTGCCGCTCTTCCCTTCCTAGCCGCCTGTCGCTGCTTCACATATGCAGTCAGTCTGTTGTTAATCGTCCGGTTCGCCGTTCCTTTTGTTGCCTACTTTAGGGCCGTTGCAATACCTGTTGCGTGTTGGACCTGATGCGTTGTCCTGTATCCAATCTGTCGCGTGCGGGGATGGCATGTTCCACACCGAGACCGGCGCGCGGTCCAATCATCACTCGACTAGCCTACAGAATTTTTCTGAATATTTGTTTTGTCTTCGATAACGGCGTGGGGGTGGACACCGTATTTGGTGCAGCCATCCCCCGACACCCGCTGTGCTGTCTCTGTAGTGGTGGTATGAGGTGTGAAGTTTTAGACACGCCCTGCCCTTCTCCTCCGATAGTGTTATACTTGGGTGACTGTGAGTCCCTTTCTTTTCCCAACTATTGCATTCGCTCGCCCAGAGTCCTACACACACCCTTACAGTAATCGCTGTTCGAGGTAGCTCTCGCATGCAAATCTTTGCCTGGGCTGATCGGTTTGTTCGTGCCGCGAGGTAGCTGCTGTCTGTTGTAGAGCAGCGCGCTGATCGCCACATGCTGCCGTCCTGTGCCGTTACGCTTCGGTGGTTGTATCAGCCACCACCCGACAGCCTTTCTGCTAAGGTCTTAATGCCGTGTACGAGCCTGCCGATTACACGGTTGTAGTGTATTGCGTTGCCAACACCTCTACTGGGCGACTGGGAGACGGCTGAGGCGTACACACCGGCGGAACAAGTGTTACGGGTGAGAACGTTCAGAAGGCTCGCTGATCGGCCTTGCTACAGCGATGACCTGAAGGTTATGCGACGCCGCAGCGGCGGTGCCAATACATCAACTACTGCAGCAGGACGACAGACAGACGCGCCTGCCGACCTGTGCCTGCCGCCCGCAGGTAACGAACCGCGTTACGCCTGCTTTGCGGCGACCTGCGCGCGCACTTCTCCTCGCCCGCTTCTCTATCGTTCCTCACTGCAGCCGTCTGGAAAAATGCCCGTCCCGTTCTGCGATTAGGGTAACTGACCTGGTTCTGCACGTTAGTCAGGGGAATGGATGAGAAGGAGGAGGAGGGGAAGGAGCAGGAGCAGGAACAGGAGGAGGAGGAAGGTTGAACTGACCTGTTCTGCACGTTAGTCAGGGGAATGGATGAGAAGGAGGAGGAGGGGAAGGGGAAGGAGCAGGAACAGGAGGGGAGGAACGTTTGTCGAGGGAGAGGATGAGGAGGGGGGAGGAGCAACGTTGAACTGACATGCTCTGCGCGTTAGTCTGGGGGAGAAGATGAGGAGGAGGAGGAGGAGGAAGAGGAAGAGTTTTGTCCCGGGAGCGTAGCTTTGTTCCACTGCGAGCGGCAATCGTCGCTGGGTGCGTCGCCGGTGGATCTGTGTTCGACGGTCCTGCAGCGAACGGTTCGATACCTGCTGTCTCGATGCACTCGCCTCAAGACTGTCTGCTTTCCCACAGGTTAACGAGCGCTCGCCGAAGTACACCTGCCACTGTGAGGACGGCGTCGAGCTCCACGCGGACATGCGAACGTGCCGTGCCGCTACGGCGGCGCCACCACCCGCGAGCACGGCAACACCGTCTTCGTCGTCGCCGCCGCCGACCCCGCATCCAAACTCCACGCCGAAGACGTCGTCCCCGGCGACGAAATCGCCTAGCTCCCACGCGCCGATTATTGTCGTGCCCGGCAACGCCGGGGGCGTGACTCCTGCGGCGGCAGAGACGTCGTCTTCGTCGGAGGCGGAGGGTTCGACGGTGGGCGCGCCGGAGAAGGGCGACCACACCGGAGGGATGCCGAGAGGCCATGTCGCCGCCATCGCCAGCGCCGCCCTGGTGGGGCTCATCATCCTACTGGCCACGGTAAGTGCAGCGCGAAAATTTGCTGCGCGAACGGGCGTTGTCGCGGCACTCAGTTTTCGCTTCTTTCGCGATGCTTTCGTCGTTCCTCGCTGGCCGTTAGTGGAGGCGAGACTGCCGCCTCCACGAGGTCACAATTAAAAAAATATTTGTTTGCCCTCACCCGACCCAGGCTGAAAAGTTTGGGTAGGTTGGTCGGTTTTTTTTTTAGGGCGGGGGTCTTTACAAATTCAGCATGGTGTCTACATGTTCGGGTGTGCTTGTGTGGAGATACCTTTCATGTTGAATGTTTGTTTTGCTAATTGGTACAGATAATGTATTGCCTACAGATTTATATAATGTACAGTGATAGTTTGTTTAAAATAAAAAGAAAGATCAACAACATTTTTCGAGTCGGCCCCTTTTTGGCGGGTCGGTCGGGTGAGGACAAACAAACAATATTTTTATTATGGCCTGACGCATCGCCTGCAAGAGTTGCGCGTTCTCACGTCGTGCGCGTTCGTGTTTCGCCAGGTTGCCTATCTCATTCACCGAAACTACGTGAAGAAGAACACGAAGAGCATGAACTTTGACAACCCCGTGTATCGGAAAACCACCGAGGAGCAGTTCAGTCTGGAGAAGAACCAGTACCAGCCGGATAAGCCCTATAACCCGGTAAGCATGATCTCGTAGCATATAATATTGCCGCCATCTTTGTATGCGGAAGATCGGTGGGCTACTGTAGTGGTGGCACAAAAGGTTTTTGAGTGAGTCGGGTACCGTTCTCCCCTCTTTTTCAGTCGGGAATAATCGCTCAAAAAGTTGCGAATGCTCATGCCTAAATGGTAAACATGGCGTGTAACTTATCTAAATTACTGTTTGTAATGTGAACGCCTCTCATTTTTTCCCTACAATTTACGGTGGATACAGGAGCAAAAAGTGAGTCTAAGCAAATGACTGGATAGTTCTCTGTATTGTGATACTGTGATGTTTTTTTTTAATTATCACCTATAATTGTTTTCTTAGCAGTAGAGGGCATGACTGCAATTAATTTTGTTACTGTGTTGTTCTTGTGTATGGTTATATTGAAATGTAAATTCGTTGGATTTTGATTTATACGTGAAATTTTTGAACAAATTTGACCGGTTATTGGGAGTAATGTTATTATATGGGAAAGTTTGCAAATGTTGCAAAATTGAAAAAACACAAAAAGCACAAATAGGCTGCACATTGAACCGCATGTTGTAAATGTTGTCAAATAGGGCAGAATTGGCACAACTTGCACTTCACGTGGCCCAATGAGTCATTTAAAACCAGAAAACCATATGAAAACCATTATTGATACATAAAATGTTGCCTAAATAATCGGAAGCAGTTCACAAGCGTGAAAACTTGACAGGTTATTGTCGCGAACACGCATGTGTGCGGCACAGATTCTTTGCACGTACTGTTGCCTGCATGCTCGACACAGCACATCGTTGCTGGTCCCGCGCCAGTGTACCAAGAAATTCCATAATGCAGAATTCTGTGTGACACTTCTGGGATGTATTTTGCCATTTAGGGGCAGTTGTTTGTTGTCTCCAGTTGCTTTGAGTTAGAGCGCAATTTTTAAATGGGGATTGTAAGAAAACGTTTAGTCACGCCAGATGAAATTATAGGTATGCTGCGGATATTATTGTATAATCTTAGGTATCATGCATGCCAACAGACAGGTAGTATTGTTTTGCTTGTCAAATAATCATGTGCAATAATGTGCCTATTCAGCTTCTAACTAACTGTTGTCTGATATGGCTCACACGTAAGCACTAAATCCTGCCGAGATTATATTATGCCCTTTTTTCTCTTTGCAGACGTTAGAACCACTAACATCACCAGGAACAAACGATTTCGTTTAACATCGGAGCACAAAAATAGGCAACTTATCTATCGTATGGACATACAGCTCTGACCGTTCAGAACTAATTGAGGAAGTCATTGTGCAGAAGTATTTATTTATTGAAGAGAAGAATTTGATTACTGCCCTGCTATTGAACTGCCTATTCATCTCCGGAAATTCAGCGAACTGCAATATTTAGTTATATTTTTGTACGTTAGGGTTTCTCACCTCTTTTGTAAATACGTTTTTTGTTGTGTTTAGCATCGATTGCCGGTGTGCTGCCCAGCTGAGCGTGTGCTTGTGATAAATAGTTGAGCGTCTGTACAGTGACTTCCTCTCCAAGCTTTGAACTGTAAGTCTGTACAGTGATTTCCTGTGAGAGGGGGGAGGCCGGTGACCCGAGTGAGAAGCGAATCGGCGCTTCCGAGTGAGTAGTCGCCGTCCGAGGTTCAGCGTGTGAACGAGGAGGATGGCGCAGGGACGGCGCCGCGCAGTCCCGGACGAGCCGGCGAGACCGCAGAGCAGATGATTTCGATCGGAGCCTCCATGCTGCGCGATCGTGGTGTTTGCGGATGACGGCTGAGGTGAAGACGGTATCGCACTACGAGTAAGAAGTACCGAAAGACAAAAAGGTGCAGCGGAAGCAGTAGCAGCAGCAGAAGCAGCAACAGTAGCAGCAGCAGCAGCAGCAACAGCAGCAGATGATGCTTCTGCATTATGACTTCTAGCGTGGCATTCACACGTTACACGGTCGCGGTAAACCAGCAGCAACCGTGGTGTGTGCATGTGGGCCACTGTTTAGGAGGTGAAGATGGCACTAGAAGGCGCAACTAAAAATGAACGAAGAACGAATATCTGATGGCCTTGTGACGACTTCAAAGTGCAAACTTGCGTCAGCTGCAACACGATTATAATGTTAATAATGTTGTACAGGGGCACATCTTCCACGTACAGCTTTTGAAATGTGATGTACAGTTTTGAATTGTGATTGTGTTTATTTAATGTGAATATATAATAGGTTTTTGTTATAACAATATTGATTGCATCCCTACATTTTGAATTACGGTGGCCCATTTCATAGGACCTCACTGTGTTCACCTGCTACTACTGAGTTGCCCTTCATGGTATTTCACTTCAACTGTTGCATAGAGGTCCATGAACAATGTGAACGAAACACTGAGAATTTATGGTTTTAAACACCAGGCCATTGTTGCACTCTCCCTAGTCCCCCCCACCTATGAATGCATAATATGCATAATATAGATTATAGATATATTCCTGGTAAAAGTGCAAGCTTTCAATGATAACATTCATACGTGACATACGGAATAATTTGTGGTGTAAATGTTGCTGATTATGATATGGCTATGTCGTAGCAGTCAGTTCTAGTACCGTGTCATGTGATACCACCCGCTCAGTGTAAAATGTAGTACAGTATAAAGATTATCAGTGTTCGGCCTTTGTTTATTTGGACCGTTATCACAATGGCAATTCTTAGGTAATTGCGTGGTGATTAGCTCTTCTTTGATTCCTTCACTGTGCGTGCATGGAAGTTCGCTTGAATGTGTAAATATTAACATTGTACAACACTGGCTTGTAGCTGTTCAGTAGTGTGTGTGCAGCTTGCGTTTAAAGAAACTACAGTCGCTGCTTATATAAACTGCAATATCTGTATAGGTGGCGCTATTGTTACCTAGTTTGAGCTCGCGAATTTTGTTCAGTCGTATTTGTACATTGCCGTGGTATTATCAATTTAACGGATTCTGAATCAGTAATGTCGTTTTCGCTGTGGGTTAACCGTTCCCATCCGTGGCAGTGGCAAAACCAGAGGTGTTACAAGCAATGTCTCAATTTGCATATATTTGTATCATAAATAATCTATAACAATGAATATCTTAAAAACTCGTGCACTATAGATAAAAAAAAAGTTCATGTCCTTGTATTCCAAACAGTCTTTTGCTGTGAGAGAAACACCAGCACACACTCAGACCCGTCCAAGGTCATGTGTCTCACCAGGCCTGTCAACTCGATAGAGGCACTCCGCAACGTTAAAGAACCCATGATAGGCAACTTCCTCTGGTGTAGTGTCATAGTGGTAGTGGCCTCCTTCCCCGTGTTGACTGAAGCAGTGCGTGTGCTCCACTCGTAGGTCCATACCCTGTTGGGAACGTAGAGGCACTAGTGTGAAACGAGTGCTGACAAAACGTGTCCGTTGCTTAACGCGTTACAATGAGTGGTTCTCGTGGAACGACCGCACTGAAACTAACGAGTCGCGGGAGATGCCAACGCGAAGGCTGATAGATACCCATCTGGTAAGGTCAGGTCAGGTCAGGTCATGTCAAGGCCAGTAGTGACTATAGTGATGGGGCAGGTCAAGTAGTGATGGGTCAGACACTGATGTTCATGCTCACCACTGGGCACTCACTAATACTTACAGGGTCAGCTGATACACATTCTCCAGTCAGGCACACGAGAGGCGCAGACATTTCGTAAAACTTTAGCCACTCGTCTACGGCTTCGTCATTTTCTAAAGGCTCCTTAGAAAAGTCGGACTGGAACAATATAAAGAGCTTGCTCGTATGAGAGACGCTTTTCAGGACTGTGTTAATATAAATAGGTTTTGATGTGAAATGCCTAAAATCATTACAAACATTGCCTACAAGGTGTAATACTATGTTCGTGAAAAAGCTAGCAATAAACTAAGTAAGCATTTCTAGTCATTATACTACACTGAATGAAAAATGACTAACACCAAAATCTAAACTTTCTTCCTCTTGTGCTCTCTTTCCTCTCTCCTCTGCTCCCCTCCCCTCCCTCTCTCTCTTACTCTATTAATTACTATCTCTTTCTCGCTCTTCTCTTTTTCTCTTCGCCCTTCGACATACTTCTGCATTCTCTCTCACGTCTTATGGTCTTCCCCCCTTATGGGTGGAATCTGGAGTTATTACCATTATATGAATCTTGGCTTTTCCTCTCTCAATTAGAAAAGCTCCACCTATTCCTACAGGCTGGTCTCCGTATTCTTCCGACAATGCCTTCCTGATGCAAGAAATAAGGTTCTCCTCGCCTATCCTCTCTTTTGCTTTCACTTCTAGAACCTGTGCATAAAGCAGACTCACAACTTTTGTACACAGAACACTTGTGATAGACTGCAAATACAACACAAAGGTAATATAGCAATCAGTGCAGATTGCAAATAAAGTACAGTATAGGCTAATCAGGGTAGACTGCAAATATGGTGTACAGCTTTCTATTAATCGATATAGAACGCAAATACAGTACAGAGCTGTATTTTCATCCAAAGATGGGTGAAATACAATACAGAGCTACATGTAACATAGCAATCAACTGCATATATAGTACAGCACCATATTGTAGTCAAATGAGCGGTCAACTATAGAACAGAGCTTCATAGCAGCCAAACAGAATACACTAATACCATAAGCTACGAAAACCCTGGTTATTGGCATTCATACATATTATATTTGTAAATTATAGCCATTAAACTCAAAATAAGATGGGTAAATTTGCTCTTACGGAAATTTGAAAAGGGAATACATGGTGTTTTCTAATCAAATAGAGATCAGATTATGATTAGATTATTCTCCCTCAGAGAAAATGCATACACGTGCAGTGTGCATTAAATTCCACAATCAGTACCCAATGTCCAATGTATCCCAAGTTCATGGTACTAAATTCTAATTCTTATTTTCAACTCCCTTTCCCTCCCAGTATTAGCCTCGTTCACACGAGACCTCGTATTTATGAAATAATTTTAATTACAGAAAAACATGCATGGATGCGTTTTCCTATAGATTTTAAACACTGCTTTCTTACAGAGGTAAAATTAAAATTGACAACTGCTACTGAATGGATTGTTGCACATGCTGCTACTGAAATAAAATGTGCACTTAACTATCCACACTGGCAAGAAAATAAGACGCTAGATATGTAGCTAGGTTCGCACTTCAGCTTCCCCAGGCCCAACTAGGAACTAATTTAATTATGCTTCTAAGATAAATACAATACATTGTACGGCGAAGAAAAAGTCATTTGTGTATAATTCCATTCAATCACAATATTTTAACGACTTGTAACTGTGCACAACTTAGGTTCCTTATTCTATTATTTGGTATTTCAAAACATAGGCACAATCAGATCTTTTTTATTGCGAGCAAATATATATACTGTATATAGCAACAATTAAAAATCAAACAATTGAAAGTTTTCTAAGCTGCACTTATACTTCTAACTAATTGAATTGCTAGTCAAAGATAATACATGTATATCATTTGCATAGCAAAATGTATAATTAAATACATACACACAAACAACGGAATACAAAAAACTAGTTCATGACACACCTTATACAGGTACAACACCGATTTTCCGGACACTGATGCTCCGGAACCTCTTTTAATCCAGATAAAATTCATTTGAAATTATTTGGCATAGCAGACTAAGCAGTGTACGTCGCCACATCGCCATGTGGGCGCATCGCCACATTGCCGTGTCGCCACATCGCCGTGTCGCCACATTGCCGTGTTGCCACATCGCTGTGTCGCCATGTGGACGCGTCACCATGAGGGCGCCTCACCATGTAAGCGCGTCACCGCGTCGCCAAGTGGGCGCGTCGTGTGTCGCCATGTGGGTGTGTCGCCATGTGGGCGCATCGCCACATCGCCGTGTCACCATGTGGGCGCGTCGCCATGTGGGCGCATCGCCACATCGCCGTGTCACCATGTGGGCGCGCCGCCGTGTCGCCATGTGGGCGCATTGCCACGTAGGCGTGTCACCATGTGGGCGCGTCGCCGTGTCGCCATGTGGGCGCGTTGCCACGTAGCCGTGTCGCCATGTGAGCGCGTCGCCGTAGGTATTTGCGAAATACCGAATCTGAGACAAATACGCGGCCGAGCGTTCACACGCTGATTCGCGGCTCCAGAAATACGGTATTTGCGAACTGCGAGCTGCTTTAAAGAATCAAGCGAACAATGCGAAATAAACAATGCAATGCGCACCAACTGCCGATAAAATACGTAGACTGGTTCCACTCGCGTTACACTAGAGCTGTCGAGCGCGGACCAGTGTATAAAATACGCGGCTTCAGAAATCCGGTATTTAGCGTTCACACGAGGAAATGCGCGGTCCAAGAAATCCGGTATTTCTCAAGCACGGCAAATTATTCGGGTTTTGGGAAGCCTCGTATTTACATGAAATACCGGATCTGTTTAGATACCGTATTTCTTGGGCCTCGTATTTTGCCTCGTGTGAACGCTAAATACCGGATTTCTTGCTACGTGTGAACGCGGCTATTATCATGTTACTGTGTTACATAATTAAATAACTGACATACGTGTGTTACAGTGTGTACACAAGTTTACTTAAGTAAGCGTTCATAAGTGTGTTTATATTACAGGAGGCTAATGACCTAACCCTAATCTGCTTCATTTTGCTGAAAAGTTCCCATAGCAATGCACCTCCAATTATGCAATAGAAGGCGATAGGAAAACGGGACTAACATTATGCAGTCTGAACGTTTGTTTCTTGAAAACCCTCACTTCAGTAATGCAGAGAATTATTGTACAGATCTCTATAGCAATTATGACAGACTGCAAATATAGTACAGATGTTCTGTAGTGGGCATGAAGAGATCACGTTACAAAACACAAAAACATACAATGTAATCTTATACCAGTGTGATTTAACCAGGGACGATAAAAAAGAATTGATTCATTCCTGATGTAATTATGTGACAGTACGGATTTCTGCAGCGAAATATTTGTCCAGCCCACTCAGTAACCCTAGAGCACTGCCTATTGCTTCATCACAACTCACCTTCCCCTGAGCTCCCTCAGAAAAGAAAAAGTTTCCCAGGATGCTGAAATCAGTGGAGTTGATAGTTTCCTGGATGCAGCTACCATCTCCTAGGTCGACTTTGCTGATGTAACTCTGCATGGCTGAGCAACCAGTTGGGCAGCCAGGGTCCAACTTCAGGTTTGGGATTAGCTGTAAGAGCAGTCCATGTTACATGTAGATATAAAATATCACCTCTGTATAATGTAATATGATGTACTGTGTATTGTGAAAACATGGTTACTATATTGCAAATACCTGCTCATACATACCTCAGAGTTTACACCAACAAGATTGTAGGGTCCAGCGCCTGCACCGATAATGAATGCTGACGGCAAATTTACCCGCTTTGCAATGTCTGCGATGTTGTAGACCTGCACAGTAGAGATAATAGTTACAGTTCCATACACTTTTCCATGACGTGTAAAACAGCATCAGGTGTGAGTCGAGGCAACGAGGCGTTTGCCTACAGCACCCACTGAAAGTTGAGCTGATATTGGATTAACAGCGCTTGGGGTGTTGCCCATAACTTTGGCAATCTATATAAAAAATTGCTATATTAAAAATAGCTTACATGATTCATATATATCTATGTATGATCGTACAGATTTACTCGTAGGATAAACCCGATTTATTCTATATATAGATATCTTTAAATTATTAAAAATAATCTGTGTGAAACAATAAAATAGGTAAAGGTAATACAGTCAACCCTGTACATAATGGTCACTCAAGAAAACTCCCAAGCATGTCCTTCCTAAACTGGTGTTCCTTCTATACAGGTTGGTGAACTTGGTGGCAGTATTGAATTTTTACCTCGTGAGGTACAATACATATCATATATCGCCCTGTATTTTTCCGGAGTATACAGTAATTTCGATACCATTGCATACGTACACATTTACGTATAGCAACCTACATAACTTAATTGCCTCATTAAATTATATATATTGAATATTTATGCATTTGAAAATTACAATTGGCAACTGTTGCCTTATATTCTTGCGTATTCATCTAATATATAATGGTTCAAAAGTCATACATCCAAATGCCCAGCGTAGAGCATAGCTGTCTTAGGTCCTGTCAGAAATTAAAGGTGGCGCCACGAGCAAGTGGCACGGTGGTTCCACCCCACGTATCGGAATATTAATTATTATGTACGCCTGTTTGTGTAGGCACACTTATATTTTCATAATGTAACCAAGGCAGTCTAGAGGCTCACATAGTAATTGCCTATGAGGTAGGGGGGGGGAGTGACAGCAATATGTAGGGGGGAGCCCATTCGAGGGATTCAAAATCCGTGTCTACTGAGTACTGACCAAGTTGAACAGGGGTCCACTCTGTTCATAAGGGTGCATAACACAGCATTTTTCGGTACGCGAATTTTTTATGAGTACTATGAACAGGTTTCCATTCTATGTAGGTGTCCACAAATGCAGGTTTAAGTGCAAATTCCACAGGTCAGAAGGGATTTTCACTGGCACTGCACCTTGTCAAGTTGGGGCAGAGGTAGAAGGTATGGTGGTCCACCGACATCCACTATCCTGGTTGAACCACAAAGTCCTGCAAGCATGTCCACAACTAATTACACGTGTACAATCAAACTTCAAACTTCGGGATCGATTCTGGAACTTCACATGTATTTCCTTGATGGAGCGGTGTTCATTCCATAGAGGGTGGTTTCACTGTGCAATTGCAACTCAAGGGAAATACTACAAGTTTCCCTTCTACACCTCTGTAGAAGGGAAACTTGTAGTATTTCCCTTGAGTTGCAATATATAGAGGTGTCCACTAAGATAGGTTTGACTGTATTATAATTTAAAACATATAAAAAAATATCCTATATATTTGTAGAATACATATTTCAGTTATTATGTAGTAGAGTCAGATAGAATACCAATTTATTTTTATTTATGCACAAACAGTGCATTTTGTATACCAAATGTATTATATATACTATTGTCTGCTAGCTGTGTATCACTGTACAATGATGTACAATCAGTGAATCTATTGCATGGATGCACACATGTACTCATGTATGTATGGATGCACACATCATATACTCACACCTGTGTACAAATACGTACCTGCAGCAGCAAGGTGGAAAGGTGGTGCTGTCAGGTTGGGACAATCTGTCACATTGACCTCCACAGTTGCAAAGTTTCCAATTAGTCTTTTCTTTAGAACTAAATTAAGACATTCACAATTGTATATTTTGTACATGCATTAAACACTTTCCACAAAAACAAGATATATTTCCTCTGGGTAATTAAGCCATGCAAGTCTTCGTGTTTATTTGCACACTCTTATCGCCTAATTATGGTGCATGCAATCACTACAAGCCACAAGCAGTGTGCTAGCTGTCTGCTGTAGTGGAAACGATCGAGGGCTATAGTATAGTACTAAAGCTACGCATAGTTCTGTCACAGGTCACGGGTGGAACTAGCTCTACCAATGTTGCCCTTTCGGCCCAAGGATATAAGAGCTGTCCACATTTGCACATTTGCACATGTCGCACATTGCGAAAATGAATTGGTGGTCAGTGCTTATATCCATGAACCACCCCTTCGCCCCCACGGCGCTATACCTGTGAAGCGGGAGTGGAAGGCCCATTTTAACGACTTGTAACTGTGCACAGACTTAGGTTCGCTTATTCTATTATTTGTATTTCAAAACATAGGCACAATCAGATCTTTTTATTGCGAGCAAATATATATACTGTATATAGGCAACAATTAAAAATCAAACAATTGAAAGTTTTCGTAAGCTGCGCATCTTATACTTCTAACTAATTGAATTGCAGTCAAAGATAATACATGTATATGCATTTGCATAGCAAAATGTATACATTAAAACATACACACAAACAACGAATACAAAAAACTAGTTCATGACACAGCCTATCCCACAGGTACAGACACCGGATTTTCCGGACACCTGAATGCCTCCGGAACCTCTTTTAATCCAGATAAAATTCATTTGAAATTATTTGGCATAGCAGACTAAGCAGTGTACGTCGCCACATCGCCATGTGGGCGCATCGCCACATCGCCGTGTCACCATGTGGGCGCGCCGCCGTGTCGCCATGTGGGCGCATCGCCACATCGCCGTGTCACCATGTGGGCGCGCCGCCGTGTCGCCACGTCGCTGTGTCTCCATGTGGGCACGTCGCTGTGTCTCCATGTGGGCACGTCGCCACATCGCCATGTGGACGCATCGCCACATCGCCGTGTCACCATGTGGGCGCGTCGCCACGTAGCCGTGTCACCATGTGGGTGTGTCGCCATGTGGGCGCGTTGCCCACGTAGCCGTGTCGCCATGTGAGCGCGTCGCCGTATCAACCATGGTGCCTTCATTTCTGTCTATGAACTGTCTGTGACATGACTATTTACAGGGGGGGGGGCACTTTTTAGGTCGGATTCATTGTGAATGTAAATATGTGTCATATGCAAATGTGTCATTTATTAAATATGTTGTGTTGACCACCGTGGGGATGAGGGCAACAGCAAAACTCTTTCTGAAATTGTGAAAAAAGCTGCAAAAGGGTTGGTAACCTCTGCTTTGCCATATCATACAATATTAATTTAACCCATGCATCATATCATGCATGTATCATGCAAGGTATTTGCGCCGCCACATTATATTTGTCATCCACCCCCGCTAAAGTCCGGCCACTGCTGGAATGTCTCGGCGGGTGGCTGCGCAGGCCAGTGGTTCACTGTAGAAACCTCTGGTGCCATAGTAGTGTTTTCCTCGCCTGAGTCTAGAATTTGTCAACGGCGAGTCGGCTGCCCAAGAATGCTCTGATGAATCGTAGGCAAATCTCCTCATATACGTATATGAGAAGTCTGAATGCATGTGGTATGTAGACAAGGCGGAAATATAGAGACCCGGGACAAGAGGCAGAAAGGCAATAAAAAGAAATTGTGAGTGCGCTTGAATGGCCGAGTGCAGGATGTATAGGTGTACATGGACATGCGGCCGGAATAGCCAGGGGGGGTTCGGGGGTTTCGAACGAACGCCCCCCCCCCCAAGCCCCTCCCGTCAAGCAAAAAAAATTTTTTTTAAATTTGTCAGAATTTCACCTCAGGTCGCTCCATTTTAGTGTATAATATTGGCAAACTCACATCTGGACCGGCATGCGAGGCTGGGAGGGTGAACAGTTAACACCCCCCTCCACCACCTCCCCGGGACCGCTCGGTCGCTTGCTCCGTCGCCTGGTCGCTTCGCGCCCGAGCAGGGGGTGTACAGGGGGGTCTAGGGAGTCCGACCGGCCTTGCTCGCGCAGAAACACGCATCTGAGGGGGTGTAATTTTAAAATATTCTCTGGGGAGGCCCCCACAACCCCCCCTTCGCGTGGCTCGCAACTTGGGTTACGTTAGACCCCCTGGTACAAAATCGCTGTACACGCCCGTGCCCGAGAGAGTTGCCAACGATTGAAAAAAACGAACCTCACCCCCGCCAATAGAAAGCTGGCTACGGACCTGGACATGTAGTATGGTGTCTGAATCTGCGCTGATGTCCTTGATGACAGATAGATTGTTCTCATAACGTATTCTGATTCTCTGTCAGACATATAAAGACAGAACGTTGTCAGATCCTTTATATACCCGCTTCACAAAACTCTCACACGTGCTATGCTGGCGCAGAATTATACATGTATGCAATATAGATTGCCTTAGATATC